TCTGGGCTGCAGAGAGCTGAGCAGCCACACTCCCACAGATGACAACACAGGAGGCAATCCAGTTTGAACATTCGGGGCTTTGAGAACTACCCTGAGACCAGCAACGCATCGTGCAAGTGGCGGAATCACTAACATTCTAAATCGACAGAGCAGACCAAGGATCAGCCAGCTATTGGATGAGACGGGAAAGGCTTTTTGTCACAACCAACTTGAGCTACATCAGCTCAGCGTCCATGAGGGGGAAGGCTCCTAATTGGATGGCCAATACCAAAAGTCATGCAGTCTCCCTACAGCAGGGGTGGGGAACCTCAGGCTCAGCGGACAGATGTAGCCCCTAGCTTGCCTACATCCGGCCACTGAGGCTCAGCTTTGGGGAGCCCACATTGGCACTCCAGCCCCCCATCACGCACCGGTGGGGCTGAGACATACAAAATCTACTAGCCAGGGCCCCCTAGCTGCTGGTGTGCAAGGAGAATATGGGGAGTTCCTTTTTCCTTCTAGTCAGGGGCTTCTCGCTGTACTTCTCACTTGTGTGTGGCCACCAACTGATTTTTCTGTGGGCCGGGGGCCTTGACCCAAAGAAGGTTTCACACCCCTGCCCTAGAGAAACCATCAGTATTTATAATTTTCTTTGCGTTAGGGTAACAAAGTCACAGATAATGGTACATGTAGCCCAAACTCTTTTCAGGCAGCTTCTTCCAAGAAACACAATTTGTACTGCTCACAAGCTATTATTTGTGTTACAGTAGCACCCAGAGACCGCCAGAAAGATCATGTGAGGCACTCCATGATCTGTTACAGTGCATTTGTACAGCTCCTAAAATAACAGGGGAATCTCGGTTAGGGCCTTTAGATGTGAGTAACACAAATATTAATTCTGATCCCCATTTTACAGACAGGGAGTTCAGGCACAGCAATTAAGTTATACTGGTAGTCTACGGCAGAGCTGAATTACATCTCAGATCCGCTGCCTCCTCCATCTTGTGTCTCTTTGCTACTTAGACCCCTTTGATATATACCACACTTAAAACTAGGAAAACAGAGAAGCAATGAAGAGGGTGGGGGGTGAATCTTGCCTCACTCCCAATCTGTACCAGCTGTGTTCCAATGCACTGCAATAGTTCAAGAGCAGAATACCACACACACCTCGCATGCACACCGTTTAACAAATCCACTTAAGGCCCTTAAGACTTTCAAACAAACTCCTGCTGGAGTTTAGCAAAACAGTAGCTCAGCAGAGTCCAACGGCATAACGTTGGTACAATGTGCTTGAGATCTAGGTCAGAGCCTGAACGCAAGTCCAGAATGAAAGAACTAATCAAGAAACAGCCAACGGAGCAAGAACTAAATGCTGCTCTTGGTTCCATTGGTGCCCACACTGAGTAACACCATTGCCTTTAACAGGATTACTCTGAATTTACAGCACACCAGGTAAGCGAGGGTCAGACTCCATCCTTTGACTGTACCCGGCAGTAGATTCACAAAAGTCTGCTTAGAAACTCTGGCAGAATTTTAATGATGAAAAAACAGTCAGTTTAAAGAGACACTCACATGTTAACTGGGAAAGCTCTTGGGCCTACACTCAACTGGAGTGAAAAGCTTTTGTTTGAATGCCAGCTGCTAATTCAGCCCCTAATTTCTATCTCTTTTGTGTGTGTGTTGCTGATACACATAGTTCTAACACAATTAAAAGAAAAAGGTATTTTCACTTTATTTTTTTCTTCTCAGACTGGAAAAGTTAAGAATAGTTCTGATGAGAATGGTTTGCACAGGTAAGGAACATCTGATGCATAATGTCACTGCTGTAAAGTATCATGATGAAGTAAATGGGTAACAGGTTTAAAACTAATAAAAGAAAGTTCTTCACACAGCGCGTAGTCAACCTGTGGAACTCCTTGTCAGAGGAGGCTGTGAAGGCTAGGACTATAATAGAGTTTAAAGAGAAACTAGATAATTTCATGGAGGTTAGGTCCATAAAAGGCTATTAGCCAGGGGATAGAAATGGTGTCCCTGGCCTCTGTTTGTCACACGCTGGAGAAGGATGGCAGGAGACAAATCACTTGATCATTGTCTTCGGTCCACCCTCTCTGGGGCACCTGGTGCTGGCCACTGTTGGCAGACAGGCTGCTGGGTTAGATGGACCTTTGGTCTGACCCAGTACAGCCGTTCTTATGATGTCATCACAGCTGACAACATTTCCTAGTGTAGGCTGGCTTGTGTAACCTGCCTACCGTGGTGTAATGAGATGGGTGTGGGTGAGCGTGAGACAGAGGGGATGTATCCCTGCAGCTTTACCTGTATTGGATCTGCCATGCTAAAGTGTTTATCTTGCTCCTCTTGTGACTGTCCTGGAGGGGGAAAAAAAAGACAATTCAATGTTAGCTCAAATGATGGAAGCTATGCCATTCTGGGGTGCAGTCCAGACCAATGAGGGGCTGCATCACCACTCACTCTGCTCTCTGGGGTGCCTTCCAATTCTTTGTAGCTCCCAACCCAGCCTCTTCATGAACACCCAAAAGGTCTCATCCTGAGGGGCTCTGTGAAGCAATTCATCCCAGAATGAGGTTTACTTTTTTTGCAGCAGCGTCACACTGCTGACTCGTATTTAATTTGTGATCCACTATGGCCTCTAAGTCCCTTTCCACAGAACTCCTTCCTACGCAGTCACTTCCCATTTTGCATGTCTGCAACTGACTGTTCTTTTCTAAATGGAGGATTTTCCATTTGTATTCAAAACTGGCTACAGGGAGATGTAAAAGTCCATATTGTGTTATCAGTCCCTTGGTCCATCTAGCCCCCTAACAAATAGGAACTAAGTGATGCAAAAGGGAAGAGCTTATAGCCTCACTGGCTTAAGTATTAAGACAGGTTAAATACATTTTTGACTAAATATGTGGTCAGCTTGGTTAAAAGTAACCCATCCACTTGGTTATTTTTGCCCATTGGCTTGTGGAAAACTCTCTCTGGGTATGTCTACACTACCCCGCTAATTCGAACTAGCGGGGTAATGTAGGCATACCGCACTTGCAAATGAAGCCCGGGATTTGAATTTCCCGGGCTTCATTTGCATAAGCCGGGCGCCGCCATTTTTAAATCCCGGCTGGTTCGAACCCCGTGCTGCGCGGCTACACACGGCATGAACTAGGTAGTTCGAACTAGGCTTCCTAATTCGAACTACCGTTACTAACGGTAGTTCGGAATAGGAACCTAGTCCGAACTACCTAGTCCGTGCCGTGTGTAGCCGCGCGGCACGGGGCTCAAACTAGCCGGGATTTAAAAATGGCGGCGCCCGGCTTATGCAAATGAAGCCCGGGAAATTCAAATCCCGGGCTTCATTTGCAAGTGCGGTATGCCTACATTACCCCGCTAGTTCGAATTAGCGGGGTAGTGTAGACATACCCTCCCTGAGTATTGTTTGACAAGGATGAGGAGTTAAAGCCTTGCTCTGGGAAGTTTATTGGTCTCTGATACGGTCAGTCATCTCTGACCTTTGCTTTCATTTCACGAGCAAACAACATTTGGAGAAACTGTTGGTTTTGACAACAGATCAGGTGGTATCTGGCAGGTAGGGGGAGAAAAATCTATATTTGGAGTAGTGAAGGAGAATGGATGCATTTTTCCATGGTGTTATCTTGCTGGGACAGACTACTTGTGATTAAGACTGACAGTTGAGTACCAGGGTAAACAGCACCTTATCTCTATGGTGCCTGCCTCTGCTGATTTCAGCAACTGTACACTCACTCCTGAGTCACACAGCTCTGCAAGCTGTTACAGTGACCTCATTTACTAATGTTGTACTATCAAAGCCTGTGTTAAATACCTTAGGATTGTGCCAAGGAAATATAGCGTAGCCAGAAAGGCCAAAGCTTGTGTGCACAGTTAACTCTGGGCATCACATGGATTGATTTTAAAAATCATTTTCATGCTATGGAAAGTGACAAAGCATAAAACCCAAAAGACGTGTGTGTGTGTGGGGGGGGAACCCCCTCTCAGTTTGGATTTTCATTTAACAGGTTTGACACATCTGAACCCTACTGGGGACAGGCAGAACAAACAAGAACATTCAAGGCAAGACTGGCCAAGAAGAAAGTTCTGTTAAACGTCTGTTTGGATACTTCCAGCCATTGTACTCGTCTAACAGGATTTCATTCATAATTGAATCACAAATGGAAATGGTCAAGGACTGATGCACTTTCACTCACTTTGAACATTTACTGACAGGTTATCAAAATGGACAATTTTTCCACCTCTTGAGAAGCTCAGGGTATCTGGAACAGCCATGGCCTTGTCCATCATCTTTCTCCATAAGGACTTTCACCTGTTAGTGACACAAGTAAGTATAGAAATCGTCATGCTTGGTATTTTCCAGATCCCAAGGAATGTCCCTTACCTTAAGGAGCTCAAAATCTAAGGACAGACAGAGGTCAGAGCAAGAGAACAATATAGAGTTTTATGCATACATCAGCAAGATTCAACCTATGTCCACACTATCGCAGAAAGGTGACCTAAGGTACTCAACTCCAGCTACAAGAGTAACATAGCTGGAGTTGATGTACTATGTCAAGTTACAGCGGCGGGGCAGGGGCGGTGAAGGGAGAAACTCTCCTTTCAACTTTCCTTACTCTTCTCGTGGGGGTGGGAGGGGCAGAGTGTTACAGTACAGAGGTTGACTGCAGAGCAATTTGCAGTTGATTTGGCAGGTCTTCATTAGGCTTGCTAGATCAATCTCAGAAGAACATAGATCCCACTATAGTTTAGATGTAGCCTCTGTATAGCCAGCATAGAAGTGAGTTTAAAATGGGACTTAAACATGGAGCTGGTGGGTGCCTTGTAATTCATTCAGGAAAGCTGCTTGCATACTATGGTAATATAGATTGTTTAGAAATATATTACAAGTGATCAAGGCCATTCTCCTCACAGACTAGTCAAGTGATAGAAATGTAGCCGTGTTAGTCTGGGGTAGTTGAAGCAAAATGCAGGACAATGTAGCACTTTAAAGACTAACAAGATGGTTTATTAGATGATGAGCTTTCGTGGGCCAGACCCACTTCCTCAGATCAAATAGTGGAAGAAAGTAGTCACAACCATATATACCAAAGGATACAATTAAAAAAAATGAACAAATATGAAAAGGACAAATCACATTGCAGAACAGAAGGAGGAGGCGGGGGGGTGGGAAGGGGGAGGAAGGAAGGTAAGTGTCTGTGAATTGATGATATTAGAGGTAGGGAGAGTGGGATGTTTGTGAGTTAATGGTATTACAGGTGATAATTGGGGAAACTGTCTTGATAATGGGTGAGAAAGTTCAAAGACTTGTTAAGTCCCTGGTGGTAAGTGTCGAATTTTAACATGAATGACAGTTCAGAGGATTCCCTTTCAAGTGCAGATGTAAAAGGTCTTTGTAGCAGAATGCAGGTGGCTAAGTCATTTAGAGAGTGTCCTTTCTGGTTAAAGTGGCAAGAAACTGTTTTCTCTTTGTGATCTTGTCTGATATCTGTTTTGTGGGCATTAATCCTTTGGCGAAGTGTCTGAGATGTGTATTTCTCCAAGATTTTGCCTGCACTAGAACTACTGTCCTGGTTACTACAGCATAGTGGCCTGACATTTAAAACATGTAGCACTTTAAACACTAACAAGATGGTTTATTAGATGATGAGCTTTCGTGGGCCAGACCCACTTCCTCAGATCAAATAGTGGAAGAAAATAGTCACAACCATATATTCCAAAGGATACAATTAAAAATTTTTTTAATTTTAATTGGTATATATGGTTGGGACTATTTTCTTCCACAATTTGATCTGAGGAAGTGGGTCTGGCCCACGAAAGCTCATCATCTAATAAACCATCTTGTTAGTCTTTAAAGTGCTACATAGTCCTGTATCTTGTTTCAGCTACACCAGACTAACACGGCTACATTTCTATCACTATTTAAAACATGATTTGGGTTTTAAGAAAAGGGACCTTCTCGCTAAATTATGCTACAGCCTTGCTAAACTTCAAGGTCTAGCAGCAGATTCAGAGACATGGGTAGGTCCCATTCCCGACAAAGACCCAACTGAACCCTGTGGTGGCACTACAGTGACATTATAGGTTTGCCTAGCACATTAGCTCCTGTAGCAGAGACATAATCTGAAATAGAACAAAGAAACAAACACAGAAGAGAAGCGCTGGAGGAAATGCACACTTTAAGGAATGGCCTAACAAAGGTTAGTTGTGAATTCCCATTCACACTATCCCATGAAATGAGCACTAGGTACTTTCCAACACACACCCAATAAGGTCTTGTTGTGCTAAAAATCTTTGTAATAGCAGATGAAGATGTTTTGTGCCTGTGCTCATACCTCCTGGTCATTTTTTCTCTGCTGGTTTAACATCACATCTGAAAGATTGAGTCTGTAACAGCATCCATAGTGCACTGAGGTGCACCTCCTAGAGTTTGGAGCTCTTAATTTTCTGTGAAAGCTGAAGCAATGAGCCAAGCTATTCTGACACACTGGACTGCAATCCAACAGGATCATCAGAATCAACACATGCATGTCATTGCAAAACAAAAACCTGCCCCTTACTGGTTTTGTTTTGGTGATATTGACATGTTTGGCTTTTTGATGGGAGGAAAGTTCCTGGAAGGGAACAAGTTGTATATGACACTTGTATCATCCTCTGTTCCAGAAAGTACAGTTTTGGAATTATTCACACCTGTTTCAAGTTAGAAAAGTTAGGAAATAGTCTAAAAAATGTGACTAAAATGGACTGAGCTCGTTTCCTGGAGTCCACATTCCATTTCAGGGTTTTTAACTGAACTGATAATGAAGCCAGATGTCTGCTTTCATCTCTCTGCCACGCAGCTGGAATCATGCCCACAAAATCTCCACCAAAATACTTTCTTTGAAGGCTGTTGGCTAATGGCTTTCAAATAATGTAGAACAAATGTATCAAAAGTTAAGTTTACTGATGCCACCTAATGGCCATTTGCATGTGTAGCTACAGAACACTGCTGTACAAGTAGTTTGGTGTCTTGATAGTAATTCCAAAGATAAGGGTACATGTTTGAATTCTGTTAAAAAAAAAAATTATTTCCATAAAAACAGACTAAGGCCAGGTCTACATTGGAGGAGAAAAATTGATGTAAGATATGCAACTCCAGCTATGTGAATTGCGTAGGTGGGGTCAAAGCACATTGCACCGATTTTCTGGGGCAGCCCCACAACGGGAGGTTGATGGGCGAAACACTGCCATCAACATCCCTTACTCCTCCCAACAGTGAAGAGTAATGGCCCTGAGAGGCACCCTCAGTGTTCAATTTAGTGGGTCTTTACTAGACCAGCTAAATCAGATCCTGGAGGATTGATTGTCAGAGCATCAATCCTCTCGCAAGTGGAGGCGACCTTAGATAGTGAGTGTTTAGTTCAGAGAGGAGACTAAGAGGGAAGGATATGATAGAAGTATATGAAATAATTATGGTTATAGAAAAATGAATTGGACATGCTCATTAATCTTTTTTTCATAACATAAGAACAAATGGGCAGTCAAACTATAGGCAGCACATTTAAATCTGAAAAGAAAACATTCTACACAACATAATTGACATGTGGCACTCACTGTCAAGATATTATTGAGGTACAGAAGAACTTTTTTTAAAGGATTAAACATCCTATGGATAAGAACCACTACCATAGTTCCCTTAGGATAAATTATAGGCACTGCCAAGTAAGTTTGCCTATACATCTAGATAGTCTTTATTAACATGATCACATACTGTTTTTATCTTAAGTTCGATGCCTTATTTGGTGCAGAAAATGGATGCTGCTGACTTAATGAGCAACTATTTCATATTTTGATTCCTCTTTGCTCAATGGGTTGCCCCATACCTTGCTTACACCACGCTTTTCAAACCCTACTCTGAAAACAGAATTATATTAAGTTTCTTTACAATCTTCTCTGCCAGGCTCATTGACTCCAGAATATGAATGCTTCACAATTATGAATTTAACTTTTCAACAGCCCTAGAAGATGAGGTGATGCTTTTTACAGAAGGGGAGAGGAGACAGAGTAAGGTGAAAAAGTTTCCACTAATTTTGGGTGCCCAATATGAAAGTATGGGTCTCATTTTTCAAAGTACCCATATTTAGCATTCTATAGCACTTAAACCAGGGGTGGGTAATAAGCAGCCCAGATGCAATTCACCAGGGATAGCCCCTGGCAGGCTGCCAGTGCTATATTTACCTGCACGTCCACTGGTCCAGCTGTTTGCAGCTCCCATTGGTTGGGAATGGCGATCCATAGCCCACAGGAGCAGCAAGTGGTCGTACCTGCAGATGTGCACATAAAACTCTTGTGAACCACATCCAGCCCATGAGCCACTTATCGCCCAACCCTAATTTAGGCCATTCTAAGCTCAGCTCCCATTGATTCCAGTTGCAGCAGAATAGAGTGTACATATCAAGCCTGACCCCTGCATATCAAGTCAGGCACTCAGTTACTTTCCCAACATCAAGTGTCCAGTGACAATGCTGGCAAAGGTAGGGACAGATTATAGTACCCAAGGCAGCATTAAACTACCTTAACCATGATATCACCCCTCTCTTCCTGCAGTCCCCTGCCTTAATCACTACACACCTTCCAGCTTCTGCAGCAAACGAGGCAGGGTTCAAGGAAACAGCCTTTTACCACATAACCCTAATTCATCTCCAGGGCAGGTACCTTCTGAGTATTAAATGAAACAGGGGTCCTGCGGGGGGAAAAATGTGATCACATAATTAAAAACTGTCGTAACGTACATGTATAAGGGGTATGTGCGAATGAAGCTTGCAAAAGCATTTCTAACTTTTGCGTACTCAATTTTGCACTCGTGTTCTTGTAACAGCATGTGTGTAATCTATGTAGGTTCTTAAACCCCTCTTATGATAGTATCTAAGCGCTTTCCAGCAATACAGTACATTAAATGGTATGACTAACATTAGTCACACCTGGTTTGTAGTGCTTAAGAGATTGAGGAGCCTAGATTGTGTTTTAGAGAGCCTGGCACAGGGCAGACTTTTCCGCACAACCCTTAGGCAGGAATGGTCATTTCTGCTAAAATCTGTGGTAGGTCTGAAATACGGAGACAAAGAAGAGACCTTTCATTTACAATTAAAGCCAGGATTTAAACCAAAGTCTCCAATGGTGAAATACTCTACCCTACCGCAACAACAGCACAGCTGCATACTCATCTAAAATAACTTCTCTGGGCTTGATTTCACTGCAATTGAATCAACGGGAAAATTTTGGAATTGCAAATACTGGATATGCACTACTACTTAATTGCACGTTAATGTATTTTGAACATCATGAGACAGAACACACAGAACTCTTGTACATTTGACAAGTTGAGTAAGACCCACCACATTTTAAAAGAAAACTATTTAAGGAATTATGGAATGAAGCTGATTTACATACCTTACCAAGGTGAAAGAACAAACAAAGTTACTTCAGAGACCAATTACTAAAGGCTTCATTTATTCAATATTCTTGGTTCCAATGACTTGGCTTGAATGACTTTCATTTCTAGCTCCATACAATACATGGAAGATCATTCAATGATCTTCGGCCTTTTCCCATCCGTACAGGCCAAAATCTCATCTGATGAACATATGTGAAACATGAGTCTGGTTTACAATTTTATAGCTGCAGTAAGCCTACTCACGCAGTCCAACCGCTAAGTCCTCATGAGACACAGTTACTTCCAGGTTGGTTGACATTAGTTCTGAGCATTCTGAATTTTCTTTTTATAGCTCCTCACAATAAGTACCCACATTAAGAAAAAATATAATCGTGATGCCAAAGTTTAAGATAAAGTGTAAACAAACATGTGGAGTAAGAAATGGATGGAAACGTAAGAGTTGGATTGCATAGGCCGGGAATCTGCAGCAGTGCATAAAAGCTTCTAACTGCACTAAAATTCTGAGGAAGCAATAAGCAGTGGGAAGCCAGTCTTGAAGAGGTCAGGTAAAGGGAAGATTCTAGTAATGCAGGCCTGCCATGGTCTCAAAAAGAACAACACAGTTCAATATGGTCTGAGCGCTTTGCATGTAAGAAGGTTACAAAATAAATTTAGCACTGACAGTATTCTTCTAATAGTACTTGGTATTCTAAAACCATGTTCTCTTGCACATATTAGGCCCTGTATCAGAGGTCTCCAGCCTTTTTAAGCACAAGATCACTTTTTGAATTTAAGTCAGTCCAGGATCCACCTCAAACACAAATACCCCTGTCCTGCTCCTTCTCCAAGGCCCCACTCTCCTTACTCTGTGAAGATGGGGTACAGGGGAGGGGGACAGAGTGACATCAGTGCCCCTCCCTCTGTCTCTCCCACCCTACACAACAAGCAGGAAGCTCCCAGCGGGCAGCGCTGAGGCTCTAGGCAGGAGCAGCAGGGCAGTGTGGGGAAAGGCAGTTGAAGTGTCAGCACTTGATAGCCTCGCAGTCAAACGAGTCAGGATCACCTGTCAGATGCTCCAAGATCTACTGGTAGATTCTGATCTACTGGTTGGTGATCACTGCCCTATATGGTGGTGATCCTGCATTGTCTGTATGATCCTCTATATGGTTTCTGCATATGGGGATTTGAACAGTGGGTAAAGT